CCACCTCCAAAATACATTAAAAAAAAAAAAATCAAATACAAAGAAAAAGTATCTAAACATTCAGCTGAATATATTTTGTTTTACCTGGATTTTCAGGTTCCATTGGAATGAGATAGAAGCTGAATTGCTATTTCTGGAAATCAGAGAAAAAGGAGGATGAAAGAAAACCCTTCAAACTACATTTCCAATGAAACAAAGGAACAAGAACACACACGCTGTATGATTACAAGTAAAACCTATATCTATTAGGAGTACACAGTGTGTATTTGGGGTGTGTGTATATATGTATATGTATATTTGTGTACACATATATTTGTGTATATATATATATATTTTGGTGTGTGTATGTCTGTACACATAACACATATACAATGTGATATTTTTCAGCTATAAAAAAGAAGGAAATCCTGTCACTTGTGATAATAAGGGTGAACCTGGAAGACATTATGCTGAGGAAAATAAGCCAGATACAGAACAACAAGTACTGCATGACCTCACTTATACATGGAAACTAAAACTGAATTCATAGAAGCAGGGAGTAGAATGGTGGCTACCAGAAGAGGGGTGGGAGGTGGGGAATGAGGAGATGGTGGGGAAAGGATACAGAACTTCAGTTATGTAGAATGAATTGTAACAGAGTGCCCCCATTTTCCTAAGATAAAAGGAATGAGTTACTTTTATTATTATTTTTTCTTCTCTTCTCCTCTCCCCTTTTCCCCCTGTCCTCTGTTTCCTACATAGCCCTTCTGAAGTGCAAACATATCCTTTCATCTCCCCATCACCTGACATACTCTTCAGGGAAAGTTCTTCTCTGTGTTTCTAGACAGATCTCTCCTCAGGAGTGCACAGTCGATTTGCAGACCAAAGCATACCCATCACAGAACTTCCACTGTCTGGGGGTCTCCTCAGATCTTACACCCACTAGGAGAGCATGCCAAAAGCATGCCCACCTGGTCACTTTTACAACTTACTTCTGACCAGAAAGACACCACTTGACGGCCCAGTGGATAACTGCCGGAGAGCAGAGATACCCTCTGTTTTTGCTCACTTTTACCTTTAACTAACAAAAATACACGTTTTGCTCCAAAGGTGAAGTGACACATTTAAAGCAGGACACATTATACTTCTTCCCCCAAGCTAGCTTAGAAAATAAATTCACATTTTTTTTGGTACCAGGCCTCACACTTAATTGAACGCTGCATGTGGTGAGTGACTAACCTGCTTTTGGTTACACAATGAGTTTTAGAGACCGAATGTGCAGCATGGGGACTATTGTTTATGCTGTATTGTATACTTGGAGTTTGCTACAAAAGTATATCATGTGTTCTCACTACTCTAAAAAAAAAAAGAAAAGAAAAGAAACGACACTATGTGAAGAGGTGGTTATGCTAATTAGCTTGAATGTAGCCATTAGTTCATTACGTAGATGTATGTGAAAACATCATATTGTAGGCTTTAAATATATGCATTTTTAATAAAATTTTTAAAAAGATTCCTTTAAGGAAACATTTACAATAGCATCAAAACATAAAAACTACACAGCAAAGGGTGTGGAAGCCTATACACTGAGGACTACACAATATTGCTGGAAGCAATTAATGATCTTTGGAATAGGAGGTATTTATTCTTGTTTTTCTAGAGTGTTTTTGCTATTTGGGGATTCTTGCAATTTTTTTTCTGAATAAGGAGTTCTTTTTACTTTCTGACAAAAAATAGGCCACTGGAATTTGAATAAGATTGGATGGAATCTGTAGATTGCTTAGAGTAGTAGTTCCATGTTAACTATATTAAATTTTCCAACCCATGGACAGTATATTTTTCCATTTATTTAGTTCTTCTTTTATCTTTTATGCAATGTTATGTAGTTTTCAGTGTACAAGTATTTTGCCTTCTTAAATTTATTCCTAGGTATGTTATTCTTATGAGTGCTATTATAAATGAAATGTATTAATTTTCCTTTAAGATTTTTCATTACTAACACAACTGGTTTTTGTCTGTTTATCTTGTATGCTGCAAGGTTGCTGAATTAGTTTATTAACTCCAGTAATTTTGTGTGTGTGTGTGTGTGTGTGTTCATTTAGTATTTTCTCTGTACAGGGTAGGTCATGTCATCTGCAAATTGAGATTTTTTTAATTTTAAAAATATTTTTGCTCATCTTCGTTTTTGAAAGACATTTTTGACTGGGTATAGAATTCTAGGTTGACAGTTTTTTCTTTTTTCAGTACTTAGAGCTATTGCAAACTTCTTGTTTGTAATAGTTCTGATGAGAAATTTAATGCCATCCTTACAATTAGTCCACTGTATGTAACATGTCTTTTCACCTTTTATTCCTCTTAGGATTTTCTCTTCATCATGGTTTTGATCAATTTGAGTATGGTGTCTTTGATGTAGTTTTCTTCATGTTTCTTGTTCTTAGGCTACATTATGTTTCTGGGATATTTGGGGCTTATGGTTTTCATAAAGCTTAGAAAGCTTTTATCCAGTATGTTTTAAATATTTTTCTATCCCTCTTACCTACTCTATTCCCTTCAGGGGGTTCATTTACCATTTATAGAAGGGGTTTAAAGATTTCCTACTGATGGGCTTTTTATTTTTATAAATTGATTATTCTCTGTGTTTCATTTGTGTTAATTTCTACTGCTATTTCTTCTAGTCCATTAATATATTCTTCTGCAATATTTAATTCAGTGTATTTTTAAAATTTCAAACTATAAACTGTAGTTTTCACTTACGGAAGTTGATATTTTAAAATATCTCCAACATCTTCACTTAGATAAAATTATAATAACTGCTCTAATGTCCTTGTCTTCTAACATGTGTGTCATCTTCAACTGAATGATTGCATTCTTCAATATGTCTCATGTTTTCCTTCCTGTTTGCCTGTTTGAGATTCTGACATTTGATGCCAGACATTTGATGTTGATGCCTAAATGTGCCCAGTGACACAACTTGGCCTCAGTTTCTATGCACACCCAAGCTTGTGCAACAGGAGAAGTAGAGAGGTAGAGGAGGCCTGGACAAAGGAAGAATCCTCTGGAGACTTGTGGTGAAGAGAATAAATGAAGTAACTGGCAGAAACTAAAGGTCCTGATAGAACAAATAGAATCCCAGAATGAGAACACACACCATGCATGTCCCCTAAAGCAAGATAATATTTCCTAAAATCTCAAGAAAAATCATTTTTGGCAAATGCCTTATATCAAGTGAAGTAATCTATGTACCAAGGCACTGGGAAAAGTTTAAGGATGCAAAACTCAGAGAGACGTGATTCTCTCATGAGGACATTGTGAAGGATGAATGCTACTCAGTAAGTGATGACTAGGACATGCACTTTTGAGTAACTTATGAGCATCAACGTATTTAATAATGGATCTAAACCAAAAGCCAAGTTGGGGACAAGGTGGGAGACATAGGCTGTCACTGGCATATGTTTGGGTTGAAATAACACTATCAGAAATGGCAGGTAAAGGGGTCAGAGAAGAGGAAAATAATGTCTTTTTCATATTAGCAAAAATTTGAAGTTGAAAGTTATAATTTCAACTTCAAAAGGTTAAAAGGAGACTAGTGATGTCAAAACCTTTTTAGTGCAATGTTAAACAGGAAGTACACAATCCTTCCTAAATAACAAACAAAAGTCTCTCTCTCACCCACACACATGCACACACAAACACACAAAGAAAACTACATTGACAAATACAGTAAATATAATCTGCTACATATGGTAAATATAGAGTAAAATATGGGAGAGTTTAGAACATAAGCAGGGAAATAAGAATGTTTTCATTAATCTATGTCTTTATCCATGAAAACCAATCATGAAATAAAAGCTTAAAACACTGCATGTAAAAAATCCACCAGTCCAGAGTGATAGTCAAAAAAATTTAATTAAAGAGATTTAACACTTAAACATTTTAGCTTTAATAGACTAAAATTAATTTTGGATGCAAGTTAAAATTTGAGCAGAGAATATTCTTTTGTATGACAGAATGCCAGCAAAAGCAAGTATATAGTAAAATTTTAAGAAAGTCAATTTCCAACATAAAAATATAAAGAACTGACACAGGCAGGGGTGATTAATTGATGGTAAAATGCTCAGAGGAAGATTGCTAGAATACAGGATATTAATAATTTTTCAAACCACTTGCCAAATTAATTATAAATAAGATGTCATTACAAGTGACAGAGCTCCTAGACTCCTCCTTAACCAACTGACCATCCTAGTATCACGGTGATGGGGACGGACACACTGGACCTTATCTTCCTGCAAATGGGCTGAAGTAGGAAGCTCACAGCATGACTCCACAGTGTTCCTGGCCAAATGTTTAGGCTGAATTTAATCATGAGGACATTTTCAGATGACTTCAAAATGAAGAACTTTGAGTCAGACAGCTGACCTGTCCTCTACAAACAAGTCCATGTCACCACCATTAATGACTACAACAAAAAAAGGAAGAGATATTTGGGGTTCAAAATGACTAAAAAAGCATACGCTACATAGTCTTTTTACTCATTTTGAACGCAAAACATCTCTTTTCCTTTTTGTTGTGTTCTTGGTGGTGACATGGACTGTTTGAAGGAGGCAGGTCAGTTGTCCTGTTCAATGTTCTACATCCTACAGTTGTCTGAGGATTACCTTCTATGAAATTCAGGCTAAACATTTTCAGCAAGAACAAGGCATTGTTCATACTCTACCCTGGCGGAGTCCCGGGTGACATGCTGTCTCCTGCCAGTGGCTCCAGACTTCTGTTCTCTACAGGATGGGAATTGAGAGAAGCGGGGCTAAGGCCTGTCAATGCTGTTTGTCTGTCTGGGAATTGGTCTCCCCAGGTATTGATCACAATTGGACTAGGATGGACTGTGGCTTCTCAAATCAAAGAAGCCTAGTGGGTTGAAATCATCAAGAGCATTCTGTGATCTAAAATTCAATCCTCAGTGAAAGATCCCTGCAGTGTCATTGTATTTGGACTTCAACTTGATTTGCTGTTTTAGTTTTTTCTCATCAAGTGGAAAAGCTACTTTTTTTATGTGACATCCTTTCATTCTTTGCATCTTTCCAGCAGTATTTGGTACCTGCAGGGGAGAGAGATAAATCAAATGAGCATTTTCATCAGGTCCTTTCAAAGGCTGAGTCTGGAGGGATTGCTATCCCAGGGGCAAACTGATCTGCTGTGTACTTGAGCTGAAGGTGAGGGTTCGGCTGACTGGAAAGGAAAGCACCATCCTCAAGTAAGAAGAAAATGCCCCTGAATTTCCCTGATCTTCCAGTCAGTCTAGGGTGCAGGATATAGGGAACCCACCTATGCCCAACCAGCAGCGGGAACATCAGCCTTTTTCCTCCTGATCCCCTCTGTCTGGAGCAGAGTGATGGCTTTTCCTCCCAGTGAGGATGTCTCAGCATCAATCATGCGTGCTCAGACATAGAGGGCTGCAGAAGGAGAGGACCCTCTTCAGAGAAACCCATCCCCTTACAACTCCATGTCCCAGTCTTCTAGGGAGGAGCGGGAGGGCCATGGGAAGAACTTTGGATACAAGAAGCAGCAGGAACATCAGACAACATCCACGACCACTTCCACCTTTTAAAACAGAGGGTAAGATTGAACTAAGGCCAATGACTTGCTATTCACAGCCCAGGAAATAGTACCCATGAACTAAGGCCCTTTCAGTCAAGATTGGAGGAAGCTAGAGGAAAGGCTCCAATCTGGAGGTCTCAACAGTCATGATAGGCTGTTGGATCACCTTGGCTGGGACAGGAATAAGGTTTTACAAAGAAATATGATGTCTGTGGTGCTTGTTTGGTTGGTTAAATTTTTTTTAAAAAAGAAAAAAACAAATATTATTATAAGTATTCTTTGAAAGGGGTTCAGGAATGAAAGAAAATTTTTTTTAAAAGACACTCAAAATGGAGTTAGCAAAGAGAGAGTAGGGAGTGTAATCATGGCCCTACTTATTTTCCCTATTGCCTGGAAGTTGATTCCACACCTGGTTACACCTTAAGGCATCTAATCTTCTCAATATCTAGACCAACAAAACTCTGAAGTACAAAGTGAAAAGGATTAGTTTGTGTTTTACTATGCTCTCCCCTCCTACTTATTATTTTTCTTAAGTATATTTTGGGAAAGTTTACTTTTTAATATTTCATGTCAGTGTCAAGAGTGGCATAAAGAAGTATTCATATATAATCTCTTGTGGAATTTCAGTCTTGATTTGTTATTGCATTCTCTTCAGGAGAGTGAGACCAGTAAGTTCTCCTTTGGGGTTTTGCGGAAGGACAGTTAAGTGATCAAAAGTGAAATGTTCACATTGCAGTGCTGAGCCAATTAGTGGGCTGTAAAATCTGTGTAGTTAAATGTAAACTGGAAGTTTTATTTTAAACTGCCAAAGAATATACTAAATTCCATTACATGTAATATGGGAAGTATTATTTCTATACATTAGGCATTAATACAATGACTAGTTCTTACTTTATCTTGTATTCAAAATTGAGCAAGTGAGCTTCAAGCAGAGGCTAAAGGTCTAATCTCTTAATTTTCTTGCTTTTCTGCTTGATTTTTTTCTATGCTACACAAACAGTGCTGTTGAGAGGGGAATATAGGTCCCATCAAAGGCTGATGGATGCTCAGCCTTTGGATTGGCTACACATATGGGGCACTTCCATGTTGGTAACTTGAGGTCAAGGAAGACCAGTGGTCCTTCTTCTCTTTTGCCACATATTAGAATCATGTGGGAGCATTTTAAAACTACAGACACCCAAACCACATTCCAGGTCATGAAAGTGAGAATCTCAAGGTGTGAGTTCAAGGCATTCATCTTAACTGAAATCTCACCAGGTCTTTATTACATGGCAGCAGGATATAAAGATACTAAATGGAACAACCCAATTTCCACGTTTCTTTCCTTTCCCATTTATCTCATGATTGGCTTTGTTCCCAGTGGTTCTAAGGATTTTGGTCTTCTCTCTGACAACTTCAGTGAAATTTCTCTCTTATCAATTGGGCTGGGCCAAAGCAAAGATTGTTCTGTGGACAGATTCTTGTCTGTCATCTTGTGTATTCATAAAACTGGCCGTGGAGTCACTTTTCTCAAAGCTAATTTAGAAAGTGCTATCTCATATAAACCGGCCTCAAGACTCTTCCGAGTTGCATTTTAGATCCTTCGCTGGACTTGTAGAAGTGGAAATGAGAATAAAAAGGAGAGAGGTTAGAATGATGTACCTCATGATGTATGCAGTTTTGAAGTCCTGTCCTCTGCATGTACTTTTGGAGTGATGTCACTTTAGACAATCATAAATGTCCTCCAGTTAATGTCAGCTCAAATGAGTCCATGAGGTGAGAACACTGAGTCCCTGTCAACTCCATCTACATTGTCACAAGGCTACACATCTGGGGCTGAAGACTAACCTGATTCCAGGCTAGTAGGGAACTCACATCTGGTTCTAGTTTAGTTTTCTAAGTGGGGCTGTTTGTGCTCGGTTTTCACGTTTCTCATTCAGCCGAACAAGAGATGATTAAGGGTTGAATAAGATGAGTTGCTCAAAATCCAACTCAAGAGAAAAACCTATGTGTAAATGATGTAGTAAAGCAATGCTCCCTGCAGAAAGAGGCAATGGAGTTGGAGATGCAGTGAGGAAAGGTAAATTTCCCAAGAGAGTGTGTAATTTCAGGCAAAAAACCCTGTGTTCAGCAGCTTAAACTATGCAGTTGGATGAGAACAAGGAGACCTGGCCATCCTGTGGCCATGAGAGGGACTCTCAAGACAGCAGAAGGAGAAGGAATAGAACAGAGTTCAGAGAGCAAAGAGGAGATGGGGACAGAAAGGGCATGGCAGGGTGGGAGCCCATTGGACACAGAGGTAAGACCAGACAGAGGTAATAGCAGAAACTAGAGAGAACAAATGGAAGAGAAAAAACAATGGGAGAATAAGCTGCCACCAGAGACAGAGAGAAATAAGAAGTGAGTGCAGCTAAGAGTCATAGATGTGATTACCTCTGCACCCTAAGCATGAAAGCCAGGGAATCCACTTGCTGAACAGGAGTTTTCTTTTAATACTCTTTGGTTTCAGGACACTTGAGTGGTTAATATGGCCAATGACTTGACGTCCTTGTGTGTTGTCCGCTGAGCCTTCAAGTGCATCATCTTCCAGCTGTGGAGGGTTCTTCATCCCAGCAGAGGGCTCTAAAACCAGCTCTGAAAATAAAACGACAGCCAATGGCATCCACTGGCACCCCTGATCTCACTGTGACTTTCTCTTCCACCCAAAGGACATCAAATCAGGAATGAGGCCTTGGACAAGAAAGTCGAAAGTATGAGCGGAAGTCAATAGAATCACTTTAATATTTTCTTTTTTGTTGATCTTTTTTACATTACTCGGCAATGACAAGTATGTCAGGAGGCAAAAGCACTCTCAGTCCCCCCAAAATATTCAAGAAACACAGGATTAAGAAACACAAATAGCTTTCTGGTAGATAAAGCAAAAGCAAAGAAATCACACTGTATGTAGGCTGGGCTTTGAGGAGGGAAGAGGTTATAAAAATGAAAGTTAAATCAGAGCTGAGTTCAAACAGGTGATGGGGATGGAACGGGCTGGCAGGGTGGCAGCCCTTGAGACACAGAGGTGAGACCAGACAGAGGTTACAGCAGCTGATGAGAGGAAAGAACCGGGGAAGCCTAAACCTGGAGAATTTACAAAATTTGTACCATTATATGATCTATTACATGTACATATACACCCTATGTAGCATACACACCAAATACACATAATCTATATGACAAATTACATCAATGCATATATCTGTATGTATTAATCTAATGAAGAAATATTACATAGGGGTTTGGAAGATATTAAATGTAACGTTATAATGACTGTTCTGGTCTATTGAATTAGAAAAAAAAATAGAAACATGAGAAGAATGAGAAAGAAAATGTGTGGAGAGAAACAAACGACCTGTTAGACAGCAGGAGAAATTACCAGCTGAAGGGGTTCACTCTGTCCTCTTACCTGAAACCTGGTTCAGGCTCTGGTCTCCAGGGAAAGTGAGCAAGAGACAGTGTGTCTGAGCCACTGGGGTGAGTCTTGGCTCGGGGTGTGAGAATCCATAGAGAAGCAAAGGAGATTCTGGTGGGAAGAAATCAGTTTAAATAAGTTATCAAGGCACGTATCAGGAACTGCGCATCTCCCGATACCCGCTGAGCGCCTTCCATGTGTCCTCTCCACGGACCCAGATGGTGCTCATTATCTCACGTGACCCTCCCTCCTCCTGAGGACAGGGGTCCCCTCATTCCTCAGCTGAGGGCATTGCGTGACAGATGAGAACCAGGCAGCCCCAGGGGCTCCGGGAGGAGATACTGAGTGGGACAGAGAGTGAAGATGAACACGACCCAGGGTTTTAAAAAAATCTGAGCAGACGTGGATCCCTGTGAGATGGAAACTGAGGACATGGCCATGGACATGAGTGGAGGTGATGAACTAAATGGAGGTTCATAAAAGACACTGATGTGAACACTTTTCATGTGAAAGTTGCCCTTTGTTTTTAAAAAGAGCAGAACAAAAAGGAGAAGAAACTGACTTGTGGTCCCAGGATTTACACTGTTAACTGAATGTACCTCATAGGTTGTTACTGAAAGTTCCTGATAGTGGAAATTGGCTTCATGAGGGATGGGGAAGGAGAGGAAGAAAACTGGCAGAGGAGTGTGTGTGAGAAAGGAAAGGAAGAGGGGTCTCTAGAAAACAGAGAGGTTCACAATTGCTCTACCTCAGAGAAGCCATAGTCTGTGAAGTCACTTTCTAAATGTAAATTTGGCAGAAGACAAATGGATTAGGTAACAGCTATTTATAGGTTTATTGAGCAATTGTTATTGAATAAGGCCCTTTGGAAATTATAATAATTAATACTCTCAACAATGATGACAGGTAGATATTATTTTTTAGGTAGCTGCAATGAGGAAACAGAGATTTACACTCCAAAAAGACAAAATCTTTGGCCAAAGTGAACAACCAGAGAGAGGCAAACCAGGACCTGAGAGCAGATTTTGTCCTAAGCCCCACGCTCTAGCTCACCTCACTGGGTTGGAGCATCATGGATTTCAACTTGACCCTGAGTGGGCACGGAGAGTTCCCATTCTCTCCTCCACCCACAGCACCGTGACCACCAACACCTGGACTAGACCTTCTTATTCCCCTTTCCTTCCCTACCTTGAAAGGGACATTGGGTCCCAGAATCAGCATTGGCTGTGAAGCTGCAGGTGGTGGAGGAAAGGCCCAGCCTGGCTAAGCCATTCCCGCAGTCGAACCCTTGATCCAGCTGTAGTTGCAGACAATTAGTCATCAGGGTGCTTGGCTCCAGCTGTGTCTGTGAAGCCTGAACCTCTGCCAAGTGGTAGCTCCAGTCTCCACTGCAAGTCCCTTGGGCACAGGCCTCCTGGGTGGGAGCTGAAAGGAGAAGGGGCTTCAGTAGGAACAATCTCAGTTTTCCCTTTGTGAAGCACATCCAGAACACCCATCGCTGCTGTCCCTGCCTCTCAGTAAAGCCGCCCAGTGACCCAGGCCACACAGACACATATCACGTCAATGTAGGTGATGTCACCTTTCCTGTCTGTGTCTGGGGATACTGACATGGGCTGGAGTTCCAGGGCTGGGGTGTCCCTGAAGTGAAAAACCCCTTCTTCAGCCCAGAGAACGTTGGATTGGCTAACAAGGTCATGATACTTAGTCTGCCATTATTAATCTCTTTCCTGTGCCAAGAAGGAAAGTTCTAGAGAGCCCTCAGAGCATAGGAGAGGAGGAGCTGTTCTCCACAACACAGGTGTATAAGAACAGGGCAAGAGTTAGAGCCACGAGGCTTTGAGAAAGAACCATGAGGAAGACCAAACACTAAGTGAAGCAAACTTTTCAGGGATCTGGGATGTTTTGAATTTGCCATTGCCTACAATGGTTTAACCCCCTGCCCACACATCTCTAACCTATTGCCATAGAGCGGGTGTCAGCAGCCATAGGCAATGTAGTAGACAGACTACTCCCTTGGGGGAAATTCAGAAGCCATAAGAGCTGCAGATCAGCACGTGCAGTTCCTTAGGAAGGTAACACAGGGCACAGTCCTCACATTACCCACTCCTTCAGTGGGGTTCAGGAAGACAAATTATTTCTATTTCCACAGGGAGAGGAATGCACATTCTCAGAGTGGACTAAGGAAAGTCTCCCGATGACCTCATGCCAGTCCATGTCTGGCTTAGGATAGGGATGGCGCCCGCAGGGCCAGATCCACATTGCTGCAGGGCTCCTCTCTGCACCAGGTGCCATCCAGCTTTGTGGTCTTTGTCCAGGAGCCATTGTCTCAGCCAGGTTTGGCATCCCTAGTTGCTCAGGGCACATTTTACTGATGATTAACCCTCAGCCACTTAGGACACTCACATTTCAAGATACCTCACATTGAGCAAATGAGGAAAACATCCTGAAACAACAAACCTGGCTGATGAAGTCTGGGCAAACACATCTCTCCCTTTCTGATTCTCTGCACTTGCTATTTAGAATCAAGCTCTGTGAATGTCTTTGATTCTCACTACTTAATTTTCTCACGTCACTTTATCCCTCTTTTCTAGACTACTGAGTCTTATTAAACTTATACTTTGAATATTTGCATTTTCAGAAGAAAAGGGAAAAGATTTTTTCAAACTTCTGATGTACTATGGCATTGTTAATTGGGCAGGTTGGGAAAGCCTGCGATAAAAGATCAAGTAATAATTTAGGTTGTATTCTTTCTAAATCTACCAAGCTTTTCTCTGCAGGGAGAGGATGGGCAGAGCAGATGCACTTTGACACGGCTGCTGGCATCAGGGCTGTGCATTATACACACTATTCCCGCATTATTATCATGAAGCCACACACAGGAAGCCTCGTTGTGTAATTTGAGGGGCACATTCATTCATCTCGGACCGTTTGCATTCATGAATGTGGCCTCTCCTGGCCCAGGTCTCCTGACGCCCTGGCAGGACAGGCCCACATCACAGACATCACACTTCTGAGACATGTCAGAGCAATTCCCTTTCTTATTGTAGGAGCCCCATCCTGGCTGAGGTGTTCATGAGATGCAGCTCCACAGATTTACAGGGACCCAAGCATGGCCAAGCTGAGAGTTGAAACCCTGGGGACAGGGGGTGGGGAGAGACTAGGACCCTTCATCCCCTGAGTGCTTTTCTAAGGGAGAGCCTGTGGGAGCTGTAGGTCCCCCTGGAGGAACCGGAGGAGCCACTGATTCTGCTCACGGACAAAGTGCACAGAGGTAATCCTTCTTGACAAGTCTGTGCCAGGTGCTATAGGAGTTCTTTATCCCAGACCAGCAACTTTTCTGTTTCAACTTGACTTTCTTCCAAAATAATTTCTACAAAAGGAAAAAGGCGAGCACCCATAGTGGCTCAGTACCTGACAGGTACCCCCACAGAGAAATGACAGAAACTGGGCCATGGGGTCAGGCAGACAAGGGGCTTATGTTCCCACCACGGCTAATTGGGACATCCTGGGCAAGTGCAGGAAATTTTCCAGAGCCCCAGTGTCCTCAGCTCTAATAGGGAAATGCCACTGCCCATTTGGGAGCATTTCTTGAGCCCTGAATGTTTCATAGCAGGACAGAGCTTGTTTGGCAAGGGCCAGGGCATACAGCAGATGCAAGGCCAATGTGTATTTTATTTGTTTCATGAATTACTGTGATCCTAGAAAAGTATTAGCTTTTTCAAATTCAGGGAGAAATACAAAATGGGAAAGGGGATGGTCCAAGCAGGAAAGGCACTCACTGACCAAAACAGAAAAGAGGCCAACATTGTTGTTGCTAGTTTCATTCTTTGTGTGTGTGTGAGACACAGAGTCTCAGTTTGTTGCTCAGGCTGGAGTGCAGTGGTGCAATCATAGCTCACTGCAGCCTCAATTTCCCAGGCTCAGGTGATCCTTCCATCTCAGCCTCCCAAGTAGCTGGGACTACAGGTGTTTGTCACCATGCCCTGCTAATTTTTCTAGAGACATACTTTTATGATGTTGCTCACACTGGTCTCAAACTCTTGAGCTCAAGCAATTTACCTGCCTTGGCCTCCCAAAGTGCTGGAATTACAGCCATGAGCCATCGCACCTGGCATTGTTGCTAATTTTATCACAACAGATATGCTAGGGTACATCACAGAGTTCCTTGCTCTTCCTAGAAAATGAGTTGATGAATGAAACTCCCAAAAATCCACATGAAACTCCCAGAATGGAATTAAAGAAACACAATGAGCAAGAAGAAATGAAAATTGAAAGTTTTCTCTACATATCCGTGAAGCTGCTACACCAAGAGGCCCGTGCTCAGAGGAAGGGTTTTCTGGACATCATGGGGACAGGAACCACTCTGCTTTGCTCATCGGTTAGGCCAGTACCTCATGAGGGACACTAGATCTCAATGTTTTTCATGAGAATATAGCACTGAGACCAAATCTTGATTGAAATGAGAAACCCATACGTAGAAGAAAACACTGTAGCTCTACAGAGGATGCAAGCCTTGCCGTGCATAAAGGAATGGATGCCAGACTGCATCAGTGGAGGGAAGAGACATCAGAGGAAGTAGAGCTGCAGTTCCCTAGCTTTTTGGCACCAGGGCCTGGTTTCATGGAAGACAATATTTCAGGGACAATGTAGCGGGGATGGACTGGGATGATTCAAGCACATTACATTTTTTGTGCACTTTATTTCTATAATTATTACACTGCAATATCTAATGAAATAATTATACAACTCACCAAAATGTGGAGTCAGTGGGAGCCCTAAGCTTGTTTACCTGCAACTAGATGTTCCCTTCTGGGGGTGACAGTCACTGGGAGACAGTGACAGATCATCAGGCATTAGATTCTTATGAAGATTGCACAGCCTAGACCCATCACATGCACAATTCACAATAAGGTTCCAGCTCCTGTGAGAATCTAATACCACTGCTGATCTGACAGGAGGTGGAATTCATGCAGTAATGCTCTCCCACCGCTCATGCTCTCCCACCGCTCACCTCCTGCTGTGTGGCTTAGTTTCTAACAGGTCATGGACCCACAAGGGTCCATGGATGGCCCCTGCATTGGGAATCTGTGATGTAGAGAATCCAGTATGAGACACAGGAATCATAAAACAGGCCTCCAGATCATTGTGCAAAACTTCCTGCATGTGTGGATGGCCAGAGAACAGATAAGGGCACTGTTCAAGGCATGTAGTTAGCAACATAATTTCAGAAAGAAGAGATGCCCTATTTTAAAGGAGAAGATTTGTTATGCAAATATGTCCAGATGAGCTACTGTGGACAAGAACTTGCTAAAAGCCCTAACCCCTTTCCAGTTTTTATGCCCACAGCCTGCTCTTGCAAGAAGCAGCCAGGTGACAGAGGAGTCACGTGGGACAGGAGTAGAGGAAGGTTCACCCACTGGATGTATGTGATCGAAACGGGATCCCAGAGCCAGATTAAAAACAGGCTCAGTGTACAGGGCCTGCCTGCATTGACGGCCTGGCTCAGCTACACAAGTTGCAGAAACAAAACATATGGAGACTGCCTGGGAAGACACTGGAGCTTTGTGATCTTCAGGCTGGAGTACTCACAGGCTACATCCAGAGCAGAGTATATGAGCTGATCATCCAACGAGGACAAGGTGCTGCTATAAGGCTGGTGGCAGTCAGACAGGTCATGGTGAACTGAAGGAGTCAAGTAAATTTCATCCAAGGAGTCCTCTGGGACTTCCTGTTCCTTTACCTCTGGCAGCTCCCGGCTCAGCCTGGAGGAAAGAAGACAGAAGATAAACACTGGAGAGAAGCAAAACCACTGCGCCCAGCTGGTTCTACAGGAAGGACCACAGGAGGGGCCAGAGGAAGCCTCGTACAGTCCCCTCAGAAAGACATAACCATCCTTCCCTGTCTCTAGCAGGAGACAGAGCGGCAGGTGCTCAGTGCACTGGGCAGACAATGAGCTGGGGAGGAAGGAGATGGAGGATCCCTGTGGGAAACTGCCAGGACACAGTGCATTCAGCACTTCTGCATACAGTTTGTTGACATTAGCATCAGAGGCCAAATGAATACAGGTTCTTGAATCTTCACAGAAAGAGTTCCTGTTTCCTCAACATCACTTGTTCTCAAAACAGTGAGCAGGATGTGAGTTATTTTCACTCACTCTCCTGCTATTAAATACTTGTAAACATGGTGATAATGCCAAAGAGGCAGACATCAGGTGAGGTCAGGAAATCCCTGAGTTTGGTCAGTTCACCTGGCTCAACTGATTGTCCATTCCTATGCTTGAGAGGGAATTTTTGGATGAATGGATGACACAGTTCTCTATTCATCACTTCCTATCCTGTTTTCCCTGGATCCCTAGTCTCCAGGTGTCACTATTGAGCTAACAGCCCACAAATCCATAGTTACCTGGGGGGCACTTGCGCTTTTCCTTCCTCTTCCTCATGATCATTTTGGTTTCCTGTAAAGAAATTTAGGAGAGCAAGTCACAGTAAGCAAATCACACTTCAACAAGACCAAATCAGTGTCCAGTCATAGCACAAGGACATAAATATCCTCAGTGTAAGAATGTGATATTCTGACAGGAAGGTTCTAACGTGCTCTAGATGAAGCCTTGTCAGAAGTAGATGAGCCTGCTTTCCAGACCCATGGGACAGAATCTCCCTCATCTAATATCATAATCCCATATTTTCTGACCTAAGTCTGTGCAAACAATTTAGCAATTTTTTTTCCCATGATCTTCAAAAATGGTTCTAACTACTCTCCAGAAGTATTGCTGGAACACTGATTTATCTCATCGTATATCCTGGTCGATGAATTGTAAGATAAATTTTATTTATATACCTCCTGGTATCAAGGTGACTGCATAGCTAGGACAATCTGACTCAAAGGAGACCAAGACTGAAGCCGAGAAGAGTGATATCAGGGAAACAACATCGCCAAATACACAGGCGAGGCTGTCAGTGGCCGTGGACAAGCATAGAAACTCCGTGGACATTGTGCAGGGGCACAAATTACATCATTACAGGGGACAAGAGACATAGGAACTGAGCTAGGAGGCCTGACAGATATCTCCCGTACAGCTCCTGTACACAGGTGGCTATGAATTAGTCACACCTGCTTGTGGTCCAGTAACCCGATATTGGGGCCAGGGAGAAGTGGAAAGCCATCGGAGCCACTGATATCTGTATTTAACATTCCATCCTAGTCCTCCCTCCCTCCCATCCTTTCTTTTTTTCTTTTTCCTTTTTTTTTTTTTTTTTGAGACAGGGTTTCTCTCTGTCACCCAGGGTGAGGGTGGAGTGCAGTGGTGCGGTCATGACTCACTGCAGTTTCAACTTCCTGTGCTCAGATGATTCTCCTACTTCAGTTTTATGAATAGTTGGGACTACAGGTGTGCACCACCAGGCCTGGGTAATTTTTTATATTCTTTGTAAAGATGGATTTCACCACATTTCCCAAGCTGGTCTTGAACTCCCAAACTCAAGTAATCCACCCACCTGGACCTCCCAAAGTGCTGAAATTACAGATGTGAGGCACTGCACCCAGCTTCATCCTAGTTTCTGATTCAAACCAATGTGTATGTATACAGCCCATCCTCAGAATTGATCTTCCTCGGCCTAGACAGAGGTATGAGGGATAAAGAATATACAGGCTACCTGGGAGAATGTTTAGAGCTTCCTCCCCTTCATCCTGAGTGCATTCACTGTCTACAACCAGAGCAGAGTCGACTTTGTCTCCCTCAAATGTGACTTTGGCACTCCTGTGAGGCTGGTTGGAGTCAGAAGCGCCGTAGCTATTTGAGCAAGTGGCAGCACATTCCTCCAGTGAATCCTGAGGGACTTCCTTTTCCTCAGCCTTCTGCACCTCCCTGATGAGCCAGGTAGGATAGAGATGACAAAGATTAAACCAAGAGGGATTGGGCCCCAGGAATTCCCAGCTGGTTTTGATGGGAGGCATAAGGTAGTGGTCCCAGAAAGCAAAGGGGAGTTTCCGTTTAAGAGGGAACAGGCAATCCTCCTCTATCTGCAACAGAGCATGGCTGCCATGGGAACCAGAGAGGAAGAGAGTGGCTGGTGTTCATTGCACTGGACAGACAGGAGCTGAAGAAGACAGAGATTCAGCTGCTTCTGTATGGTACAGTCTTGAGAGCACACACACAGAACCAAAAACAGCTGCCATGTCATGTGTGTTAAGCTGGATTGCGTTTAACATACTGTGGCCAAGGGAATACAGGTGTCTGAGCCATGGTAGACTCCAGAGATGGTGTGCCTTCTAGATTTTTAAAAAAATTTCAACAATGTGATGTGAAATGTAAATATTTTCTAGGTATTTTTCTTAGTGTTTAACTTTGCTAGGTGTTCCTAATTTCTCTGCTGGTTGCCTCCTTGCTATTTATCTTCCCTAACAAGAGTCTAAAGACAACCGTGTAGAAAGTGGCTTTGAATCTCCTCCTGGCTTTCAATACAGGGGAGGACAGGTCTCCTGTGTGTGTGCAGGAAGTCCCTAAGGCTAGTGAGTTCAACGAGGGTCATGCTTACAGGTACCATGAAGACAATGGACAAGCATGTTAACAGTGCTATTTCCTTATTGGTTAATTCATGAAATCAGTGCACTCTGCAGCTATCTGTATCCTGCATCTGGAATCTGTGACTACCTTTACCTACCTGTGTTCCTTCTGAGACCTTTTTCATATTTTACCACCCATTACCCACTCCTGACTATTTAGTGTTACCTGGGAGCAGGTGATTCCTGTATGTTCTCAGTCTCCTCATCTGTAACATCTTCATCCTCATCTTCATCATTTTCTGGAAATACAGAAGTGTCTATTCAGGAATTTCCCACGTCACCCACTGGAAGCACAGTTAGCCCTATGTGCACTGAGACATGAGCATCCATGTATGGGTCTGCGTTGTACTGAAAACTCTACTGTTTATCTCTAAAAAATGCCCTGGCATGTTCTCCTGATCCATGAGGGAAGGTGTTTCTGAACTGGAGGGCCACCATCAATTTGTGGCCAAATATTGAAAAGACTCCTTGCTCCCCATATTGCTAGAGGCTTGTCCAGCCTCTCTCTAAGCTTCAGCAGCTATCTCCCCAGTCCTGCCACGGTTCTGATACCCAGGCACAGGCTCTGTGTCCTGTCACAGCTTGCATTACAACCTGTATCTTTCTCTTAGGACAGGACAAACAAACTTGTCCCACAATACTCCATACATCGGGACTTCATGGGCGCTCCAAGAGACTTCCACTGTGCTATCCAGGGACACTCTCTCCATGGGGAGTTCCAGTCTAGATCACTTCCTACTATCAAATGTCCCCACATTAAGTACCTTCTCCAACACCACACAGCGAGGGGCTTTATCTCATTGTGAAATATAGTCGTAAGCGTTCCCACATTTGAATGCAAGAGATAGTTTGCCTGCCTTTACAGATTTAGAGACAGGAACTCAGGAAGGATGAATTAATCAGTTCCTCACAGCTGCTAAAGACATTGCTGAAGATAGAGCCTGGGAACCTTCATTCTTAGTCCAGGGCTCTTTTTACTCTAACAAGCTGCCTCCTGTCACAGCCTCCTTCCTGTCCTTTAAAACTGGACAGATGCTGCCTTTTGCCTCAAAGACCACATTCCAGTAAGAAATGAGGGGACATTTGCAATACTGTGACCTCCAACCCCATGAGTTTCCCATCTCTGTTTTTACCCAGGAAGTCCTGGTCATGTCGTGGCTACAAATTTTCAGTGGAAAGAAACATTACCCATAAAATTGTCATTGTGGAGGTGTGGAGGTCTGGGGACTTTGATAAACCCGGGTGTGTGTGTTATCAGGGCCTGTGTCCACCTTACCTGGGCTGAGCTTGTTGACAAGATGCTCTGCCAGCCTGTGCCCCTCAGCCAGCTGCTCTCGGAGGTCCTGACCCTGGGACTTGTTAGGGTCATCAGGAGTGAGAAGGGCCTTGAAATGTTGATTCAGTGAGTGGGGGGCATCTCTCCCTTCCTGTAACTTCTCCCGTAACTGGGTCAGCTCTTTTGCCTGAGAGTGAAGCAGGGCTTTATATTGCCTATGGTGAGATAGCAGAGAACGTTTAATAACGGAAAGGGGTGAGTGATCAGTTCTAATACTGCAACGGAGGTTTATGTGAGAATGTCCTCAAGGAGCCCTCCAAGCAGAAGGTCACAACATGTTTGGGGATATACACACGTTTTTTTAGGCAGGGCATGGTGGCTCACGTCTGTAATCCTAGCACTTTGGGAGGCTGAGGCGGGCAGATTAACTGATGTCAGGACTTCAAACCCAGCCTGACCAACACGGTGAAACCCTGCCTCTACTAAAAATACAAAAATTACCCAGGCATGGTGGAGCATGCCTGTAGTCCCAGCTACTTGGGAGGCTGAGACAGGAGAATTTCTTGAACCCTGGAGGCAGATGTTGCAGTTAGCTGAGATTGTGTAACTGCACTCCAGCCTGGGTGACAGAAATGAGACTCCATCTCAGAAAAAAAGAAAAAAAATTATATCTCTCTATTTATAATATACAGATATCAAATATATATTTAACTAGAGGCTTTCTCTGTATCAGAGAGAGCTCCTATAAGATCCTTTAAGATGTTCCATTCATTTTTTTTCTTCTGTAAACCAAAGTCAGTGCCTTCCTAAATCAATTTTAAAGGGATGTCCTTTCAGTTCCTCACTTTGGGCATGGACATTTCAATGTGAAAATTCACATAGTGAATCTTGCAGTGACTGGAAACAAGCCATGCACAGAAACGTGGCCAGGTGCAGATGGGGTGAATTGGAAAGATGAAAGAAGAAGCGAATGACAGGTCAAGAAGGCAATATTGATTGAATGAATGAGTTGCTGCAGTCAGTCAGGAGGTGACTCTGACTAAGAGAAAATGGGGTGGTGATCACACACCATTTTGAGGGTAGTAAATGCTGCTGGGTGGTTCGTTTTCTTTTAATGAACTTTGGTTATGCAAATTTCAATTCAACAACTAGTTGTTTTAAAAAGAGAAATCAAAGATCAAGAAACAACTGTAACCCATAACTTGCTAAGATTACTGTTCTGCTTTATGAATATTTGTGTGAAATGTGCCTGGCAGGTAAATGCCTGCCCTTGTCCTGGCCCAGCTTAGCTCCTGCTTCTCCCAGCTGAACTGCTGCACTTCAGAGATCACACCCCTGCCCACCTGCCTGTCCCCACGGCGTCTGCTCACCTGAGCTCCTCAGCTTGCCTGAGCTTCTCTGCCAGCTTCTCCTCTATGAACTGCACTTCATTCCTCAGCACAGAGTCTATGATGTCTTTGTCCTCTTCACGCTCTGAGAAAAGACAGTCACACCTGCCTCAGTGGAAGGCTGGACATGCTGGTGTGGTCACTGCCTACAGGGCAGGTGGCAGTGTCTGTCCCAAGGACAAAAGCATCCCCAGTACCAGACTGTAGTGAGGGATTTCCTCATTTTTAATTGTCAACCTCCCAACTTTCTGGCATCTGATACTCTCCATCTTAGAGATGGGGAAAAAGAAGCTCAATGGCACATCAAGTCACTTGACAGGATGATTCACCTGGAATGAGGCAGAGTCAGAATTCACAGCCCCTGAGATCTGACTCTGAATCGTGGGACACTTTCCCAAGCCTTGCAGCCTCTCCTGTCAAACACTCTACTAGGGCATGAAGTAGTGATACCCTGTACAGTAGGAAAGGCCATTAGGACTATGGGACTCATGGATTCCCTGGTACTGGGAATTTCAAGCACAAATATGTCAAAGATTTTAAAAAATCATATCTGAATATAATTATATAAAATATGAGGCATAAGACCCTGAGATCATCATAGAAATATGACCAAATACTAATAAAATTTGGATTAAGTTAGAAACAGTAGACTGAAGAACTAATAGTGTTTACTCTGTGCCAAGAATTGTTCTAGGAGAATTAGAAGAAACAGGTCATGTAATTCTTGCAGCAATTTACAGAGGTAGGTATTATTATAGTATGCAATGAACAGATGAGGAAATTGAGGCACAGAGAAGACAGGCAACTTGGATGGAGCTCAGGAGACCGGCCCAGGCTCCCTGCTCTGCACACGGCACTGCTACCTCCACAATGTCTTACGTGCCATCTTTCTTCCTCTTTAGGATAAGAGCCTGTACCCCAGGATGCAGGACTTCCCTCTCACCAAGGTACTCCTTGCTTTTCATGCTGTCACTTATGAATGACACCATTACTATTAGGAGCAGCCTCCTCTTTAAGCTCCTTAGAGCAGGTACTCTGTACTGTCTCCATGTTTCCCCCGGGGTTCCCTGAAGAGAGATTTGCCTATAGGGCCTCAAAGAAGCTTAAACTGAATGCCGTAGTTCCAGGCACTTGGACCAACGGACTAGATGTTATTTGTCTGCAGGATCTTCTAGGGTACAGAGAGCATTCTTGTAAACATGACTGAGCATCTTGCTGAGAAAAGCAAGTGGGTCTGGGCCTGAGTCAGAGGTCAGTAGGCAGGATTTTAACTCTAGTCCCACCGCACATCGGACTGCTAACGTGGAACAGTTGCTAAGTACGTTGTGCCTCTGTTTTCCATCCTTAACACAATCAAGTTAAAATACCCATTTCTGTTTTCCTGGAACTAAGGAAAGGATGAAATTAATTCTGATGAAGAGACCGTTCAGTATCTCAGAGAGAAGACAGGTGCTGATTCATCACTTTCGTGATGGTGAATCTATAGAACTTACTGTATTTCTTCAGTTGTTTAGCCAGAGAGTAGGCAGTAGCTTGACTCATAAGAAATTTCTCCTTGAGGTCTTCGAACTGCTGTTGGCTCTCTGCCAGCTGGGAGCGCAATTCCTGGTTGATTTTCATCTCTGCCCTGTCATGGGGCAAATGTATGGCAGTTACCACCACCATGCCGACATTTGCGGCAGAAGAGTTCAAACAGGGACTGGGGAGAAGAAACCCAAGCACATGATAGGTCAAAAACTAATGAAATCAACTAGGTTTATTCGGGACTGAGGGAAGACAACAGCTGGAATTGTTGACTTACGTTTGAGAAGAACTTGATCCACAAAACACAGTCGTTCAGAGTCCTTAACCGAAAAAAAAAGCGTTTAGGATGCCTGAGCTCAGAGCCGAAGGCACTGCCTGTAGCTCTGCCTCTGACAAGAGTGAGGTGGGTAGCAGCCAGCGTGCCAGGTAACCGTCTGCAGTTGCAATAACAGAATTAGAAGGTGGGGGTGTCATGGAATCTTAGGAGCCCTGCATTCCAATTGCCCAGCTGTGTTGAAACCCAAAGTCCCCTGGTCTCACCCGACAGTCACTGATGGGGACCATTTCTTCACCAGTCACTCTCAGTAACTGTGCACCCTTGTGACAATGCTATAGACTCACTTCTTTCTCAACACATCTAAGCATATTCCTCGCAGTTCATCTCATGTGTGTATAAAATCATCGAGGTAGAGATAGTTTCCCAAATGGTTACGTTTTCTTAGTGGTAGTCAGGAAGTTACCCCACGTTCTCTAAGTTAAAATAGATCTTAATTAACACTTTTCCACAAATGAAAGATATCAAACTTTTAAACTGCCATGGTATCTTCTGGGTTCTGCAATTTTTTTTCTGAAAAAAGTTCATCAATAATTTATTTTTTAAAATATTTTTCCCCTGGCTCAGTATTTTCCTGGCTGCATCCCATTATTATGTTGATTTCTTTTTTCTGACTAAGGCAGCATCTTGGCTTTTCATTACACTTAAGACCAGTTCACAACCCTATGTGCAAAGCTCTACCTCTATCTGCAGGTTGATTTGTTTCCTTAATGTCACTGAACACTTGTTTTATACTTGTCACTTACCAATATTATTCTGGTCCCACAAGAGCTCTTTTCAAGGTATCAAATGATCAAAATCATTTGTGTATAGCCCCTGAAAACATGTTTGAACATATATTTTGGGAAGTCTTGTAAACCTGATGCTATTTTGTTGTTTTCATTTAGTTTTCCCATGTATTGAAAGGAAAAGGAACAGGGCCATGAACATTTCTTATGGAATATTGTTGGACATATCCATATATACATACGATCTAACACCATTGATGTGTTGTTGCCTTCCACTACCAACCTGGAAAGATCATGGTCACGGTCGGGGTGGTTGATGATCATCAGTGTTCCTGTGCAGTAGAAGCTGAGTTTGGGATGAGAGGCATGAGTAGCGAACCACCTCCTCACTTCCTCAGCTTTTTTCCTCACCTAGATTTTGTGAGGCTACGACTTGGGAGATTGTCCCGTAGCCCAGGTCTCCTAAGTTTGGCTGCTGGACTTGCGTGAGTTGAAGGTGTGATGAGTGTTACATAGGCTACCCAGCATTCAGGTAGAAGTGAAGGAAGGAGGACTGGGTCAATCCCATTTGAAAACCTGCCTCTCAGCAGCCTGCACCATCCTCCAGCTACACTGTGTAATGACAGTGCTTTGAGATGTATCACAGGCTGTAAATACATCTATTTTCTGGTGTCTGGGAGACCTGATGTTCTGTGTCAGAATCAAAATCTTTCAAGTTTCTTCATTTTACAAATGATGAAACTGCAGGTTCACAAAGTTACATGGTTTACTTGAGGTCACCCAGCGGTGAGTTTTGAGCACTGCCAATAAAAGCAATCAATAATTATTCAGAAATTGTTCACAAAATCCATATAATTCAGTAGATTCACATAATTATTCCATAATTATTAATTTCCAATTTGTACTAGGCATTTTGTTTAAAAGTGTACACATAGTTGGATATCATATTTTCATCATAATCCTTAAGGCCGTGTTATCATCTGTAAGAAACAGGTAAAAAAACCTGAAGAAGAGGGATAGCAAATCATGTATTTGACCATAGTTCCATGTTTTTGTTTCTGTGGTTTCGTTAGAATGACCAGAATGAGTCAGGAGACGAATATTCATTCTTGTATCATTTTCCAGGACCTAGGTGTGTCCTCCTAGAGTATTGGGACCAAAATTCACAAGTGTCTGCACCTTGCATTAACAGTGCAGGAAATAGTCTCTATCACCTGGAATTTCACTGGAACTTTGGAATATACAAAAGAAGTATGAGACTTGGGCCTGCTCTTGACTCTATTTAATTCACTCTTCTAATGAATAGCAATAATTCTCATTAAGACTTTGGCCTTTTTATAACCATGATATATATTTTATGGAGAAGATTTTACTCTTGGCTGTATTTAGAATAAATTTCAGCTATAGTTTAAGTTTTATGTCTTGGACTTAATATTTTTTCTAATTTGTTTTGAGATTAAATTCTTATGTAAATAGGAAAATACTTGTTATTACTTATAAGAGCAAATTAGTTACTGGTTTCAGTTTCTGAAGTGGAAGCACAAACGTTTGTTTTTAATCTTTGATTATCCCCATCAGCGCTGCTCATTGTCTCTCAGTGTTGCTCATTGTCTCTCTGTGACCTGGCCGTGCTCCTCCACTTACCCACGTCCTGCTAAACCATCTCCACATACTGTTCAATTCCCAGTGATTCACGCTCCTCCCAAAGCTCCCTGAAATGGGTCCAGGTCTCAGGATGTCAGACACATTCCAGATACAAAAGCAACTCACACCGCAGAGCGGAGAGCTGGGTTCCCACTTTTCTGAGGTTGGCTGTGATGTCCTAGGACAGGAAGGAATGCTTTCCCTTTTTAGGGGGTCTTTTCTTCATGTCTCAGCACCTCTGATCTAGTGAACACAAATGTCCTGAACATGAAAGAACTTGCTAAATGCCTGGTTTCTTGTTACGTGGCTGGAGTAGATTTATAAGACTTTTTTACTTACTCATGTCTGCTGAAGTTTGAATCTTAGTTTGAAGTATGATTTTTTTTTTCTTGTAAGGTGAGCAGTTTGCAGAAGATTGGCCCTGTTGCTGTGCCAAAAGAGATAAACTGAATTTCAACTCAAAGCAAGCTTGAATTTGAAACTAGGGCTTCCACTCTTTCAATACTGGACTGTCATTGCCTGAGGCATGTGTCCCGAGGGACTCCTGTCTCTGCTGTACTGAGGCTAAGGTTAAGAAGAGCCCAGCATGCAGGGTTTCCTTCACTTCTAGCTTCCCCCAGCAGTTTCTCTTGAGTTTTAGAGACTGTATTGAAAATATTCTTGCTCTGCTTTTGTGTTTTGGCTTTGCAATGATGTGATGCAGCTCAGTGGTTCCTAACCCCAAGTTGATCAGAGTAAGAAACACCTGGGAAGGTTAGTGATAATACAAGTTTATTGTCCTCCTTGCAGGGATTCTGATTCAGTGGGCTCAGGTGGGGCTTGGAAGTTGTTTATTAACATGACTTAGATGTACAGTCAGTTTGGGGACCCTCTGATACCGTGAACCTTACAGTTTATGGGATGATTCTTTCTGTTTTGCTGGTGATGTAACCAAGGCACAGAGGGTCTGTAACTTGCCCAATTTCCCTTTGCTGTAAGTAGTGGAGCCAGATCTCAGGTAGAGTTCCTCTCGCACAAACCCCTTCTCACATTTTCCAATTCAGTTGTGTGGGTTCTTTCCAAGTAGCTGTTTCTCTCCCCTGCACCCCATTTCTGCCAAAAAAAAACCTTTTTGAATTTAATTTGTTTTATCTAATACATTTCCTCACAACATGCTATCAACATCCTATTCTGGCCATTTACTATTACTCTAAGATGACTCTTTTTGAGACAGGGTCTCATTCTGTCGTGCAGGCTGAAATGCAGTGGTGATTAGGGCTCACTGCAACATCAAACTACTTGGCTCAAGCGATCCTCCTCTCTGAACATCCAAAGTAGCTGGAACTCTAGGCACACATCACCATTCCCGACTAATTTTTTAAGTTTTTGTAAAGATAAGGTCTTGCTGTGTTGCTCAGGCTAGTCTCAAACTTCTGGCCTCAAGCAATCCTCCCACCTAGGCCTCCAATAGGGCTGGGATTACAGGAGCAAGACACTGAATATGGCCCTAAAATGCTATTTTTAAAAAATGAAAATAAAAATACAGGGCCTGGAGATGTAAAAAGATACCTCACTTTATTACTGTTATAATTATTACTTCTGAAGTATAATCTTCTAAAGTACAATTCATATATCACAAAATTCACCATTTTTAAGCATACTATTCAGCATATTCCAAAGATTTTGTAACCATTACCAGTACCTAATTCCAGAATACTTTTGTAATGCCAAAAAGCATGCCTATCCTTATTGGCAGTCACTCTCCAATTCCACCATTTTGGCAGTCCCTGACAACCACTAATCTACCTTCTCTCTCTCTAGATATACTTGTTCTGGTCATTTCCTGTATGTGGAATAATGCAACGCGGCCTTTACATCTGCAGCTCTTATGTAGCACAATGTTCTCAAGGTTCATCCTTGTTGTAGCATGCATTAGTACTTCAATCCTTTTAATGGCCAAATGATATTCCACTTTATAGTTATACCACATTTTGTTTATCTGTTCATCAACTGATGGCAGTTTGGGATGTTTCCACTCTTTCACTATTATAAATAATGCTGCTATGAACATCTTTGCACATATTTTTGAGGGGAAATCTGTTTTCAGTTTTCTTGGTGATATACCTAGGAGTGCAATTGCTGCCTCATATGTGACTTTATGTTTCAGTTTTTGAGGAATCGACAGACCGTTTTCCTATCTCAGTGGCTACACCATTTTATATTCCCACTAGCAATATATGAGAATTCCATTTTCTCCATAACCTTCCAAACATATGTTGTCTTTTTTGTAAAGTCATACTAGTGGGTCTGATGTGGTATCTAATTTTAAGCTTATATTTTCGTAATGATGAAAAACATTGAACATCTTTGATCTGCTTTTTGGTCATTTGTATGTATCCTTTATAGAAATGTCTATTCAAACCTTTTCTCCCATTGTTAAATTGGGTAATTTGTCT